GGCACGTCTGGTTGAATCAGACAATAGAAGAGAGCATTATTGCAGCCGTCTGTTATTATATAGGTCTGGAGCATAGAAAACAATTAAAATCAGTTGTAGTGGTAGTTGTATTTTATTAGCATGGCTACAGAGATGCTGCTATCAATAATAAATAATAGTAATATCAGTGTATATATATACAGTAGTAAAATGTAACACACACATTAATACAGGATCCTAACGTTATTCATCCTCCTCTGGATGGTGCTGTGAATCCAGACACGTCGGCGTTTGGCTTTCCATCGTATTTGGGACTTTTTGACAACAGGTACAAAACAGCGATTGTAGTTATCTCCACCATGGTTGATCGCGCTGGTTTTATTCGCGCGAGTGACACGAAAAACATCCCGCGAGTAATCTAGAGCAAGTGATGCGATGCACATATTCGCTTCGCGTCTGGTGTGAACACACCATTAGTCTTAACATGTTCATGCAAGTCAGGAAACTAGGATCAAGAAACTAGTTACTATAATCTCATAAGTATGGTCATTCAGTTTGCATTGTATCTAATTTTGCGTGAATTACTTCTGGCAGTCTAATCCAATAATGAGTCAAGTAAGAGATTTTAAAATAGAGTACTTTCAGTTCATTCATTACACTGGAAATGTAGGAGGTCAGCTGGGTATTTCATGCATAATGTGCACAGTAATCATACTTTATACTGCAGAAATCGCTTTTCTGATGCCGATTATGCTGTGTGCGTCATTCCTGAACATAAACCAGTGCAGACACAGCACAGTCTTAGTGTTTCTACCCTTATTTTATTGTGTGTGTCTCTCTCTCTCTCTCTCTCTCTCTCTCTCTCTCTCTCTCTCTCTCTCTCTCTCTCGAGTTTGTCTGTTTATTGGCATGAAATTTCTCATGAAAGGATGTAATGAGTCTGAACTCTGACCCTGTCTGTGCCTGAATGATGCAGACGTCTCTCTGAAACTCTAATTAAATCTAATCTGCTTAAAGCTGGACCCGGCTCGTGCCGTTTGCATGACCCACATTCTCACTGAATGAGCACACAACGATCATTCAGTCAAATCTCACTTCTGCTTTTACTGAATCTGAACGTTTGCCATGTTTTATTGCAGGAGGGAGCAGGCTGTGGAGAAGAAGCATCCCGGCACGTACAAACGCCACCTGGTTCGGCCCATTGTGCGGCCCAACGCTGTTGAGAAGCTCATTAAGAAAAAGAGCAGCATGAACCATAAGCCCGGGACACAGCAGCCAAAGAGGTGAGCGATCCGTGAAGACATGGCCTATGTGCTGTTTGTGGTGTCTGTATCATAATATATTTAATAGTTTAACCAAGGGATTCACAAAATGAGGTTTGCGCCCCCCATGAGGGAACTGCAGGGGGTTTGTGAGTTGATGAAAGGCTAGCAATGAATTAAAAATGTATTACATTTAAAACAAATGAATAATTAATTGAAATAATAAATCATATAAATAATAACAAAATTATTTCAAAAATAACTTCTTTTTTTCTTCAAAAATGAAAAGATAGTTATTAAAATTATTAAAATTAATTATTTAATAATGTATTAAATTATACATTTCAGTAATAAACTAATTATTAAAATACATAAACTAAGTTTAAAATAAAAGGCAAATAATAAAAATGAAAGTTATTTCAAATTAATTAATTATTAGTAATATTAATATTCATTCATATTAATTAATGAAAGCAATTAAAAAGAAAAATAAGTTATTAAAATAAGTAAACTAATAATTTATTAAAAATAACAGATATCAAGAATAAAGTTATAAAAATCTAATATTAAAATAATTTTTAAATGAAAAGCAAATAATTAAAGTATAAAGTATAAATTAATTAAAACAAAAATATATTTAATTATAATATAAATAATAAAAAGATTTATTGAAAAAATAAATAAGATAATTATTTTGAAATTAAAAAATAAGTTGAAGTAATAAATACACTAATAATTATTTCAAAATAATAAATATCAATAATAAAAATTATTATTTAGAATAATAAAAAAAACATACAAATATTTTTAAAAGAAAAAAACAATCAAAAACAAATGCGAATGTGTTGATAAATTACTGACATATTAGCTTAAAATCTAAGGGGGACTTCAAGTAAATATTGTAGGTCAGATGGGTTTGGCTGACAAAAAAAGTCTGGGAATGGTTTATCATTTGTCCAGAAAAAGGGTTTTACTGAACAACGTGATGAACGAAATGTTCTAGAAACGGCATTTACTTTCTATTACTGTATTTTTATTGTTTTAAATAGTATACAGTATCTTGATATGTAATTTTTTGTCAATGTGTGATTATTTTCCATGAATATGGAAACACGGATGGATAATTTGTAGTTAAAGTCAGCGATACTGTGCTGAATGAAATGGTATCCGTGATGAATTCTTCATGAGGTCATTAACCCAGTGCATGTGATCTCCTGCAGGCCGGATCTGCTGCGCTCCGAGGGCATTCCCAGCGTCGAGCCTCTTCCGGCTCCGTCCCCGTTGTCAGGAAGCCCAAAAGTGTCCACCCCGCCTGGGAAAACCCGGTACCGCAGTAAACCCCGCCACCGGAGGGCCAACAGCAAAGGCAGTCACAACGAGTTCCCAGGAGCCCTCAAACCCAACTCGGCCCCGTCGGAGGAACAGCAGCCCCTACAGGACAGGGTTCGTACGGTCATGAAAAACCTGGAAAAGTCATGGAATTTTAAAACGGCGATTTCCAGGCCTGGAAAGGTTTTGGGATAATAAATAAACCCAGAAGGTTTTGGAAAAGTCATGGAAATGTATTTCACAAATCTCTGTATAACAGAATATGTTTAATCGGGTCCTGAATTTCGGAGCGGGATTGCACATATATCGCATAGTTTTACTCATTCCCGCAGCTTTTGAGTTTAAAATGAGGGAAATTCCTGCACACATTTGTGACCCTGGACCACAAAACCAGTCATAAGGGTAAATTTTTCGAAATTGAGATTTATATATTATC